ATAGAATGATAGAATCATAGAATCATAGGATCATAGGATCATAGAATTCTAGAATCATAGGATGGCCTGTGTTGCAAAGGACCACGATGCTCATCCAGCTCCAACCCCCTGCCGTGTGCAGGGTCACCAACCAGCAGCCCAGGCTGCCCAGAGCCACATCCAGCCTGGCCTTGAATGCCTGCAGGGATGGGGCATCCACAGCCTCCTTGGGCAACCTGTGCCAGTGCATCACCACCCTCTGAGTGAAAAACTTCCTCCTAATATCCAACCTAAACCTCCCTTGTCTTAGTTATTAGTTATTAGTGAAGCTCATTTGTTAATGTCCTTGAAAATGCCTTTAAATAGAGCTACTGGGATTCATTGTGCTCATGAACTGAATACCTCCAAGTTTAACAGGCCCAGACTTCCTTAACTGGAGTTTATGGAGGCTCCCACAACTGCATTTCTCCCAGTCTTGGCTACTCCATCACATAAGAAAGTTGTGATACTTATTTAAAAAATGAGTTTTCACTTCACTGCTTTCACATTACTAAATCTGTACTTAAAGTAAGCTTGCTATGAGGCTAATTTACCTTCTACCCCAGCATTTGCTCTGCTTGGAAATGGGATCCAGATGGACAACGTTTCAGAGTTTAATTCAAACTCATTAAAGGCAGTGGAAGTTTATTTCCACGAATTTGAAAAGGCTCTGGCTTTGGCCCCTCTATCACTTTGCAGCAAGATGCCTGGCTGCAGTCTCCATCTCTACAAAGCCAATAGCAATTATAAAAGCTGCAAGAAGGTTAATATTCCTTCTGGTTTTATTATTTCCAAGGAATGAAAACAGAGTTTTATTCTCAGTGGGGGCAATAAAGCCATCTCCATTTGATCAGCGGAGCGTATGAGTGCTCAAACGCCACCTCCTGCCAAGCCTGTAGGTCTTCCACCAGCCAAACTCCTACTGATATCAGAAAGACATCACCAGCATCTACACAAAGCGGAGCAGCGTTTCCATGGGACGTCAGTATGAAGTTGTCTTCCAGTATGACCTTCAGAGCATTCATTGGGACGCTGGGAATGCTGGCATTTTCCTTCCCAAGAAACTGACATGTGATGAGCCCAGCTTCCCTGGAAGTGGCTGAGCATCTTCCTGCTGCTGGGCAGTACTCCACGCATTCCTTGCTTCGCTCTGCTTGCGCGTGTGGCTTTTGCTTCACCAATTAAACTGCCTTTATCTCAACCCATGAGTTCCTGCCCTATTCCCTCTCCAGTCCTCTCCACATCCCACCTGAGGACAGGGAGCAAGTGGCCGCGTGCTGCTGAGCTGCCTGTGGAGCTGGAGCACAGCATCAGCTCTCCGGAACGCCTCTTGATTTGACGTGATTTATTCCCAGCTCCAATGGAGACCAGCTGAAAAGCTTTTCTGCAACCCAAGTGTTGACAGGCATGGGAAGGCTCCTTTCCTTACATCTCCGTGCAAAACGCTTGGCGCTCCAAAGAGATATGCTTCATGCAGAGAGAGGGACAGGTCCTTAAGGAATTTTGCACATTAGCTGTTCTACAGTTTTCTGAAGGACAAAGTCTCAGTAGCACCAATGCCTCAAGCAAGCATTTCACAAAATATCAAGCCGTGGTTACTTCTGCCAGGCACTCCCAGGACGTGAGCCACCCTCAGCTTACAAACAATAATACTCTTTCTTCTTTTTCTCCATCATTATTTTAGCAAACAATAGGTCAAAATCCTGCAGCCAGGCAGCTGCAGCTCAAACGCTCCCTCAAGAAATCGTGTCAAACCTTTGCTGCTGGATCTGAGGTGGAGTGATCTCCTCCGACCTCCACTTTGCAGTTTCTGAGATACCCAAGAGGTAAAAATCATGAACAGCAGAAAGTGTCCGTGGCTATTGGTTGGGTAGGTTGCTCCAAAAATAATGCCTCCTGCTTATTTCCATGGAAGATGCAATAACAGTTGTTGATACAGCCAATTCTCAGCTACCAAGCATTATTCTTTCAGGGTAGTCACCACCACTAGCTATGCATTTTTGTCTGTGATGAACAAGAGCCTGCATGCCACACTTGTAAATATCTGCACCAGCAGAGTTGATGCACTGTTTCACAGCTGCTGTGACGGCATCGTTGCCTATACAGTCCATCCTTCATTGACCTCAACAGATGGAGATCACAAGGTACCAAATCTGGACTACCCATGGGTGGGGTAGGATGGTCCAGCCAAGACTGGCAGTGTGCTCCACAGCCTTCAGACTGGTAGAGGGCCTGGCATTATTGCATTACAAGAGAAATGTCGTCTTCTCCTCTGGCCTGGCTGGAAGATTGAGTCACCACCACTAGGTCAGAGTTGATGGTTTGTCTGGCTTCCAGGAAATCCAGAAGGATCACCCCTTTCCTACCCCAAAGGACAGCTCACATCACTTTACCTGCTGAGGGCTCTTTCTTGAGCTTGTTCTTCAATGGGGAATTCACAACGGACTTGTTTTGATCCAGCTTGTAGTGTCACACCACCTCTCACCACCAGCAATGATGCGATCCAGGAAACTGTCACCTTCAGCTTCATTTTGGTTCAGTAGGTCCTGACACACTTACAGTGCTCCTCCTGTTCCTGTGTGAGCACTCACGGGACCCAACCTGGTGCAAACCTTGCAGAAATCCAACATTGCACCATCATTTCCAATGCACTGAAGCTGATATCCAGCTCTGCACACAGCTCCCTGTTCACAATCTGCTGATTTGCACAGATGACCTGGTTGAGAAGCTCTTCATTCATTTCATGGTACGACAGCTGTGCATGGCCATCCAGAACGTGGCTTATCTTTCATGACAAAATACTGGTGGGAAGGCTCAACTTCTACTGCCATATCACCAACATCTGCCTCTGACACCATGGGCCAACACCATAAAAATAAGAGGCATTATTTCTGGAGCAGATCTGGTGCATTCACTGTACCCAAATACCTTTAAGATGTTGTTCTATTTAACACAGCTTCATCTGCTGCAGACACAGGCTGTAGGCTTTCCCGTTGTTGAAATCTGTCTTTTACAGGACATTTTCAGCCCTCTAACAATCACGTAATAAATTCAGCAGGAGTTTCATTAGAGCACTTGGGGTATTTTTCTTTCAAATATCATAATATGAAAAAAAAGATAGAGAACTATAGAGAGCTTGAAGCACTTCCTGGCCCCTTTTTTAACAAGATAGTTGAAAAGGGAGAGCTGCTCAGAAGAGACAAGGTGACAAGCACTGTTTAGGAATTGTCTCACTGGGCCAAGAGAATGGGGTTTGTCTTCTGCAGTAAGTTTTGCATCCTTCTGCTATAGAGGGTGTTTTCTTCACACATTTCTACAATTTTATTCTGCACTGTCAGGCTTTGCAGGACACATTGCTAAGCAAGGGTTTATTGAATACCAAAAGCTGTGCATGTGAAGGATTACCTTCTGTTTGCCCACCTCATACTTAGCCTTGAACATAGAATTACAGAATCACAGAATGGCGTGTGTTGCAGGGGACCTCACAGCTCATCCTCTTTCCAGTATCATCTGCTTGACATTGGTTACAGCAGGTCACTTGGAGAACAGAGCTGGTTTTCTGGCTAAATGGGGACATCTTTATGTTATGAAGTCCTCCAGATATACAAAAAACACAAGGAGCTCTGAGGAACCTCCATTTCATGGATCCTTTCAACTTCAAGAGATGGAAGCTGGACATTATTTCTGGTTCCCTGGAAGCATGGAACCAGAAGCATGTGGAAAGGCTACAAGGAAAAGAAAGGGAAAGATCTGATCATTTTCACTTTCTCATATCCCCATGTCCTGTGGGATGGGAATAGTAGACAAACCAAGGATGGATGGATGGGTATGTGGATGGATGGATGGATGGATGGATGGATGGATGGATGGATGGATGGATGGATGGATGGATGGATGGAGGATGGAGGTTCCATGGAAGCATGGAACCAGAGATAATGTCCAGCTTCCATCTTTTCACTCACCAGCCAACCACCAGCAGCTGACCGTGGGTTACCACAGGTAAGAAAGAGCAAATAGTTTCTTACAAAAAGGGCAGTGAGGCACTGGCACAGGCTGACCAGAGAGGTGGTGGTGCCCCATCCCTGGAGACACCCAAGGTCAGGCTGGATGGGGCTCTGAGCACCTGATGGAGCTGTGGGTGTCTCTGTTCTTTGCAGGGGAGTTGGACTAGATGTCATTCAAGGGACTTTTCCAACTCAAAAGATTGTATGTACGTGCGTATGTGACAGGATGGGAATGTGATATGTGGAAAGGCTACTGGGAAAAGAAAGGGAAAGGTCTGATCATTTTCACTTTCTGGTAACCCCATGTCCTGTGGGATGGGAATAGTAGACAAACCAAGGATGGATGGATGGGTATGTGGACGGATGGATGGATGGATGGATGGATGGATGGATGGATGGATGGATGGAGGAAAGGAAGGATGGATGATAAGCTTTCTGTTATTTCTTGATCAGGTATCCCATGCTATATGAAATACCCCGTGAGATCCCTCCACACTTCCACCTGCCATCACATAGGACCACAGATCTCCCAGAGTGCTCAAATCCCATCTGCAAGCCACTTCCACAGCATCTCAGATGGCGCTAGGAAGCATCCAACCATTTCTCAAGCATGGCAAACACTTAGGAAACTGAATTTGGTGGGCATGGTGTTGATGGATTGACAGTTGGACTGGAGGATCTTAGTGGTCCTTTCTAACCTTAACGATTCTGTGATTCTACGAGTTCTGCACTACAGCCTCTGCTCAGTTTTGTAAGATGATAGTGGGGGGAAAAAGAATATTTTGAAGAAAATTGCTCTGGGGACTTGAAAACCTGGTGAGTCACGATGGTACGTAACCCAGAAGAGGGATTTTTTGTCTACCAAAAGCAGCAATGCTCCCAATGCTCCAGCCCAGGGGGCAGCCAGCAGAATCTCCCATCTGGACAGAAGTCTACCCAGGGACATCACAAAGGGATTTTTTCAGCAGCTGTCAAAAACTGGCCTTTTGCTTTGATGTTTCTGCAGCAGATGAATGCCTGAAACCCTGGCCTCATCCACGCTCCTTGTACAACCAGCAGAAGGGTGTCACGTTGCTGTCTGCTATGTCACTCATCAACGCTGGGGCACAAAGAGCTCAGAAGTGAAGCCAATTAAAAGAGGCAGGAGCTGGCATTTCTAATGAGCGGGAGAAACATCACGATCAGAAAAAGGGCACTGTGTTGGCTGAGGATGAACTACACCAAGTGACCAGGAGAGTCCCATGGAGATGCACTTCCCATCCTTGCCGATTTTGCAGCATACCAGCACTTTTTGCATTGGTAAATGGCATCAACCAAGGGAAAACTGACTGTGGCACATTATTTCAGAGGAAGGCTGGGAGAGCAGCAGCACCAGCAGATGGTGTTTGCAAAAAACAGAGCCAGAGATGGAGGTGTGTAGGCATCCCATGAGATGCCATCATCAGGACTCAACCAAGATCTTGGGCCCACATTGCCGTGGTGAGGGAAAGCTCCCAAAGCCTCCCCAGCATCTGGAGCAGCAAGACCAAACCCTACTATCTATCTAGACTCCAAACCCTGTGCAGAAAGATGATCCTTATAAAGGGTTTCTCTAACTTTGCTGTGGAAGTTGATTTTTGCACCAGCTCTTTGCGGCCAGGAAAGCCTTTCCTCCAACCAAACATTGCATCTTGTTCCTTAACCTTGCTACAAATGACTGGGATGCCAAACTGCTGCAAGGGGGCTGCTGGAATGCAACCAACAGATACATACACCTCTCCTGCATCTTCCGTGCACTCACTTTTTGTATTCATTTATAGATGGGTTTGAGGTAGATGAAATCTACCTATAGGCAGACAGTGTGCCCCAGAGCTTGTTAGCTGAATTCACCCGCATGGAAGGTGTACGAGAGAATTTCCCAGCACATGGCTCTCCCTGTAGCAGGGAGCACTTCCACATCAATTAGGGCATCCCCAGCAGATGCACCCAACCTGCTGTTCCTCCTCCCTGCTGCACTGATGCGCCACCTCCAGCTGCCTGCAGGGCTGCAGAGCAAGCTGTGCTATTAACCAGCTATGCATCAGGGTGAAAGAGCAGCCAAGCAAAACATGAGCAGAAAGAGCAAGCTTTAAAATGCTTTGTTTTGTTTTGTTTTGTTTTTCATATCCTTCTGCATTTTGCTGAATTATCGTGCATGTATAAGCAAAGTGTTGGCAAAATCCCACTTAAAATCTCAGCAGCTTAAATATAACTCCTTGGATCCAGTCCAACTGCATCTCATGGCCAACACTTCTCCCCTAGTCACATTTCAGCTGATTATAACTGACAGGCCAGGCAATGGGGCTGAGCCACACTCTTTCATAGAATCACAGAATCACAGAATGGCCTGGGTTGAAAAGGACCACAATGATCATCCAGCTCCAACCCCCTGCTGTGTGCAGGTCACCAACCAGCAGCCCAGGCTGCCCAGAGCCACATCCAGCCTGGCCTTGAATGCCTGCAGGGATGGGGCATCCACAGCCTCCTTGGGCAACCTGTTCCAGTGTCTCACCACCCTCTGGGTGAACAACCAGGACCATGAAGCCCAGCTGACTCCATGCAGATGTGCCCCAATGCACACACCTCAGCCATGAGCACCCTGAGCATCCATCTTATTCTGGGCTTCACCTCTGAGTCCCAATGAGAAGTGCTGAGGCTTTATGGTCTGGCTGTGGATGGGGCCAGAGGACGGCCCTAGTGGATCCTCTGTACAGATACTGTCCTCTCTGAATGCCATCATCATCATTACCACCATCATCTTCTTAGATGGCACATCAGGAGGGCCATGACTCTCCTGTACCCAGATGATTCACCTCCACCATTTCCTGACCTCCCTCTTCACATCCTCAAATTCCCCAACATTACCAAAATTCCTATTTATTTCGTTGTTTGCCAACCCTCCCCATGAACCCAGTACTCAACCATGATGGTTTCCATTCTTCACAGCAATGCCTGCAGATTCCCAGATGTCTTCAATCACAGCAGCGGATGGAAGAGCTTTCCCCAATTTTTCAGGCCCTGTCCTGAGTAGAAATTCAGAAGTTGACCTCAGGAATACCTGTGTCCAAGAGTTAGAGCAAATGAGCTCAAGGTCTGCTCTCAAAGTGATTTAGCCCAAATCACGTCAACCCACTGCTCCCACCCATGAGTCCAAGGAGCCATAATTTATGTAACTCATTCCTAAAATAAATTAGCCTAAAACAAATTCAGGCCTCTTTGGTTCTGAAGGCTCATCTACCCAGAGACACTGGGGAAAATTAATCTGAGTTAATGTACGCAGCATATCAGTTAAACTGCATTAAGACCCTGCGAGGATGTTCTCATTCAGAACAGAAGTGGCTTAATTTGATTTAGCTAAATTCACTTCCCAAGCCACTGCGTGGTTACTAAATCAAGATGCACTTAATTACATAGATGGGGCAGTGATGCTGCTAAAGTGTGTGGGGCATTCAACAGGTCATTCCTTGGGTCCTCCAGGGAAGACATCCTTGTGGTTCATGCCATGCTGTCCCAAGGCTTTGGCCATCCTTCTCTTCACACCCAATGAGCCATTCTGCACTGGCCAAGGTGGGTGATGAACCACCCACTTTCCCTCTCAGGCACAGCCACAAGTGGAGTAGCAGGAAAAAGGGATGCTGTTGGCCAGCCAGACCTCATGTGTACAGCAGAACTTTTCCTGGTTTAGCAACCTTAGTCCCATTCCACCAATACAGCCCCAAACTGGGATCTAGTAGACATACTTCTGCGTGTAAGGCATAGAATATGGGAGGGTGGATAACACTATAGAGAGAATCACTTTTTCTTTCCTGTTTCATAGGGTGTATGGGAGCAAGAATTAAGTTTCCCAGTCTACAGCAACTTTCAGAATGATTTTGAGGCAGAGCTTGTGACCTGGAAAGAAAAAAATATGCATGGTACCAGGCTATCCATAGCACAATAAATCTGCCATGAACTGCTTAATTATCTAAGGAAAAACACCCCACTGGGAAGAGTAATATTTGATATATGGTGTGCCCTTACCCCAAGGGGTACTTTGCTCCCCAGTGATGAAGGAAAAAGAAATATTACTTCCAAGAAATAAGGAGACATTAAAAAAAAAGCAATTTGTGCATCAACCGGCATAGGGGTACATTGATGGTTTTCACATCCTGGTGCTGCTAGGATTCCCCATAAAGCAAAGAGCCCTAGATTGTCTGAGGTGGGAAGGGCCATCCTCTGACCAGCAGATGCCAACAGCCAGGTGCTCAGGGCTCCTAATTTGCTAGTTCCTATATTCATAACCTGAAAAAGAGGATCCCCATCTCACAGCGGAAGTCAGTGGTCACCCAGGGCAAGTATCTGGGGCTGATCTCCATCAGAGTGCAGAGCATCTTCTCACAGGGATTTGTAACCTTGGTCAGGCCAGATGCAGCATAAAAATGTCAGGCTGGATGGGATGTGGGGCAACTTGGTCTGGTGGGAGGTGCTCCTGACCATGGTTGGACTGGAACCAAATGATATTAAAGGGTCCTTCCAACTCAAATTCTACAATTTTACGACTATGGGTCTATGATTCTACTATAATTCGTGCTTAACTCCATTGATGTACCATACTGCTTGTGTTGGTTGCTATGTAATCCCTTCTCCCCTTCCACGTTCCCCATGTCCAGAGTGAACCTGTGCACCACCCAGCAGCAGAAGCTCTGCCTCCACCATGGATTGGTTTACTCTGGACACTGGGAAAGACCCACAAATGCAATGAGAACAGCCCAGCCCAAAGCTCAGGGGATCACTGCAGCCCCAGGGAGCTCACCATAGGGAAAGTAGGATGTAGCAGCAGTAGGATGGGACAAATCCAGTATTCAGTGTCTGCACCAACTTGGGAAAACTGCAGCTCACAAGGATACAGTCATTTCAGAGCTCAGCTGAGCTGAGCTTGCTCAGAGAGAGGTCTGAGCACTCTTCAGTAAAAAGAAATAACATTCCTTGGGTCTGAAATCACAGCTTCTCCAGCACTCCCATAATGTGGCCGAATTGCTCCTGGAAGAAGCAAAAACCAAACTGTTTGATAGAGATGGGTTCTGGCACTGGCAGATCACAGAGAGCACAACTCAGCTTCAGAACGGCATTTTGATTGGCCCAATATGATTGGTTAATTTTATTCTGTCTTGCGGAGAGCTTTGAATTTGGTTTGGTTTGGGGAAAAAAATCCAAAATCTTGAGATTTCCCACAAAACAGGAAGAAAACCCCGTTTCCTACCGACTTCTATTATTCAGCCATGAAAGCTGACTGCTTCTGAAGGATCCCAGTCTCATTCGAAAATCTGCCCATAAATATTCACAGTTTATTTGCAAAGAGGCTCCTGCTGAAAGAATAGGGCAGAAATGTGACATCCACAAGCCACAAGCACTTCACAGGCAAATTTTCACAGCAAATCCTGAGTTTTGCACAGCACGGCCAGTGCACGGGACATCAAATGCAATGTTCTGAGTAACACCACCTCTCTGGGAGATGTTCCTACAGCAGTGTACACTGCAGGGCACGTTCAGGTTACGGTATGATCTACCTATGGCAATGTCATGTCCTGGAAGCACTGAATTTTGCACATTTTGGTGCACACTGTTAAGGAAGGTGCAAGGCGTTTGGTCTCAGAGCGCACAATCATCTCCAGACCTTGGCCACAAGGCTGCTTTCTGTAGGCAACACTTGTGGACTTGGGTTGCCCCAGGGGATGGGTCCATAAGCAGGTTGGAAACTCTCACCTGCTGACCAGAGGCATGGTCTCCTCCAAACTACATCTCAAAATCATGCCTTGAACCTTCTTGCATGAAAATTTAACCTCTAAGACCTTCACGGAGCAAGGTGGGAGACAGAAGTCACCAATTGGAAAACCATGTAGGTTCAAGCTGTGTAGTGGGATCATGTTCTGGGACACAAACCATCAGAAGAGCTCTCCCAACGAGGGCTTTGCTGGTTGCACATGGTGGGACTCCCTGTGCCTCCTAACATCCCCACATGCACTGCCCAAGGCGTGCTGGTGGGAAGATGCACTGAGTCCTTGAGGATCATCCAAGATCATGAGAAGGGGCCAAAAGAGAAACAGGGACAGATGAAACCCAAAACCAAAGCAGATAGAAGGAGTGGGGCTGGAGTGAGAAGAGACAGATTGCTAAGGGTGTTAGAACTTCCAATCCATTCTGATTCTAGGAAATCCTATGATTCTATCAATTTCACAGAACACAACAAACCCAAGCCTCTCCAAGCTGAAGGTCCAAGTCTGGTCCTGAGACCTGTGCCTGCTGCTAACACTAATAAGATTCCTGCAAAAAACAAGAGCAAACATATGTGTAACTAACACAAATATATGCATACAAAGACCAAGAATAATGCACCAGAAACTACAAATAATCACTGAGGCATCTTCCAGCGTGGCCAACTGTAATGGTCAAAGATCCATCTTGGGGGAAAAAAAACAAACAACTCACAAAACACAATTCCCTGCAAGAACAAGTAAAACTCATGGAGAATTAGGACCCCCCAAGATGGACACCCAGCAAGGGATCTTCGCTTTGGGCTGGCACTGGTGGAGCACCCAACCACTGCAGGCTGCCAACGTTCACACCAGCATTGGGCTGTGAGGAGCAGCCTCCAAAAAACCCCTCTCTCATGATGCCTCCCCCCAGCTCCATCTGTATTCAGGGCTTAGTCCTTTGTTTTTCATGAATATATAGAAAGATATATGGCCTATAGAATATTAAGTCGTAATTGAGCTTGCTAGCAGGGAGTGCCTGGGTGGCTGAATTTCATTACATTAACAGATGTGTTCAACTCCAGCTATGGGATGCTAAGAAAGCTTTTTTTCTTTCTTTCAGCATCCCCAGTTCAGAAAGCCTGTTTTCCTCCAGGCCAGTCACAGGCAGATGCTGAGATGGATGCCACCTGACTCCAAGAGCTACACTGGTCAATCTTCTGCTTTTATAGAAAGAGACCAAACTGTCACTAAAAATGAAGCAAAACTCCTGGGGCTCACTTCTTAGCTTTCTTCTTCTTTAAGAAATTGGGCTCCTGAACCTCAGCCTGCAGCTGTTTGATGAAATTGCTACAAGCTGCAGCACTCCCACCCCAAAGGAGGTCAGGGTTGTGTAGTGTTCTCTTGCTGAAACAGCAGATCCCAACCCATTTGGGAAGGAATGACTGAGGACAGAAGTGCCTGAGGAAGGCAGAAGCAATGCAGCATGGCTGCACAGGCCTTCAAAGAGCCACTGTCTCCAGCAGTGGGATGAGGTCCCAGCTCCCATGTACAGGTTTGGTGTCCATGATTCACATGATCCAGTTGGGATCCAGCCTCTCCCTCATCCCAGCCCAGGAGTCTGGGCTTGATCCTTGCATCCTTTGAGCTGGGAATAGAAGCAGAAAGTCAAAGTGAAAATGCTTTCTTTTGTCTTTTCCTAGAAGAAAAGGTTTTGAATTTTCAATTCCAAATGTCATTTTCACTGAAAGCTGAAAGAGAAAACAACTCTTGGGAGAATGGCTTTGATCTGAAAAGCAGGTTTTAATTGCTTTCATTTTGTTGCAGGGGGGAAATAACTACTTGAAATGAGCTCTTCCTCCTGCAGGGGAAGAGCAAGAAGGGCACTTCTGCCATCATACAGTGCACAGGTTTGCCCAGAGCTTAATGGGAATTTATATCCCTTTAAAGTCAACGAGGCAAAATTCTTCTGCTGTACAGCACTGCAAAGCACAGGGCTGTCCCCTGTTCCTGTTTCCAGGTCCTTGGATGTGTGTGGCAAAGCATGCGCCACTGGATCCTATGCACACAGTCCAGCAGCTGGAAACAGCTGGGATGCAGTGCAGCTCTGTGCATGGAGATTTGCTGACATCTACAGGGCATCTCATAGGGAAGAGGCTGTGGCTCCATGGGGGATGTGGGATCACGCTCCCGTTTCCTCCCCAGTGAACTACTGCACATCACAAATACATGTTGGCCATGGTAACCGATAACCACAAATGCACACAGATGGTGGAGCTACCATTAAACACTCATCTTGTTTATCAGCAGGGAAGGTCAAGAGCATAGCAGACAGCTCTGCTTTGAGAATGGAGAGGCCATCCCTGTCATAAGTTGGTGGGTTCTGTTCATTTTCAAGCAGGTCATGCTCCAAGAAGCATCATCACATGCTCTGTCCCACGCCAAGCATGGCCCCAGATCAGTGTATCCACTCCCATTTTTCATAGAATTACAGCATATCCAAAGCTGGAAGGGATCCTTAAGGACCACCGAGTCCAACCTCTGGCTCCACACAGAACCATTCCAAACTTTAGGTCTGAGAGCATTGTCCAAATTCTCCTTGCAGCTGTTCACCTGACATGACTAAGTAGCACCTTCACAGTGGTGGAAACCTTCTGGGATTCCTGGCCAGAAGGAGTCTGGGCAGAAGCATGAAAGGCATTGGCACTGTCTCCTGTCAAGAATGGGACAAAGCAATAAAAATGACCTAAGAGCATCCCATGGGAAGGTGGTTGGGCTTTCATCCCAGGTGCTTTTCTACCACAGAGCCCAGAGGGAGCCCACAACCACACACCAACGTTGGAGATCACTGGGTGCCTCCTGGTCCAGGGGTGTACAGATCTCACTCCAAGCTCTGGGCACAACGTTTGTCTCCTTGTTAGGCTCACTTGTCCATCCATCTGGATGACCTTGTCATGTGCAGGGGCCTGAGTTTAACCCACAACAATCGTGGTAAGAAATGCAACCCCCATCTCTCACAGGTTGCTGCTGCCCACTCAGGCCAGGAGCCACGTTAAGGACCTCTCCCCCCAGCAGGCTTTTAAAGATGCATGCATTAGCAGGGACAGCTATTTTTATCACAGCTTAATTCTTCTCTAAACACTGCCAGCAAGGCTGTTCCACCTCAAGGCAAAAAATGCTTTCCAACCAAATGCAGGACAGCTTGGGAACCCACTTTGTTGGGCATTGGGCACCCAACCTGCAACATGTCCAAGCCCCCCCGCTGCCAAGAGACAACAACATGGGCTTGGTGTCATCCAGAGGTGCAGGATCCACAGCACAGCTCAGACCCAGGAGTTCTAGGAGCAAAAAGTACAGCTCAGCCACCCCAAACTTACACCAACTGAAGCTGGTCCCCATCCCCAGGGCAAAGAGGGACCAGCAAATGGTCTGAAGCCACTACAGATGCGAGGAAGATGAAGTGAGCTGCTTCTGCACAGACCTCTGCAAACAGACCAAGCAACAGCTTCCTCCAAGGCAGGATAATTTTATTATGAAAATACTTGTTACAACAAACTTTGTCAATTATAAAACATCCAGAGGAATGGTGCACGTTGCACAGCCTGGAGGGTCTGGAAGCTTCAGCAAACAAAAAACACATGTTAGCCTCTCAGGTGGACATTTCTCCCAACACAGAGCAGCCAACAGGTCCTGAGCACACAGCATTTCCAGGAGAGTCATTCTGTACACGCTGGCTGTGACCATGGGGGAAAATATTGAGCAGATGTTTTCCAGACCCTGTCGTTTCATGTAACAGTGACATCAGTTTTCTGCAGAAAGGAGCACCCTGACAAAAAGCAGGGCCCCCAGGGGATGCTGTAGGCTGTGTGAGGATCTATTAACCAAGAAAGTGAGAGGAGAGTTTCCTGGATGTTTCTCTTGCACTTGGCCCTTTCGCTCACATCTTCCCTGCCCCTGCCAAGTTCAAGGCAAACTGGATGTCTGTCCCACTCAACCCTCTGTAGTCCTAAAAAGTGGTCTGTGAAACATGCTTCATCCACCAGCCACAGCCTCACAGAGGGAAGCACTGCTCCTCAGATCTGCCCCTTTCCTCCAGGACTCATGGGCTCCTGGCAAAATGCTGGTCAGCAGCGAGGCTCCTCTACCTGACAGTGATGGGATCAGTGTTGCTGGTAGAGCCCGTGCCCAGATAGAGCAAATCAGTCCGAGTCGCTTCCATCCTGCTTTGCTGACCCAACAGCTGCTGCCAACTCCTCCTCCTGCCCTTTCAAACGCTCTCCTGCAAGTGAGAAACAGCAGTTACTTTGCAATTCGCCCTCTGTACTGGTAGAAAAGCTGAACTGAAGCCCTTATGCCTGCAAACCATTCTTCCTTATCATGCAAACCTTCTCCTCTGGGAAGGGAATGAAGCTTCACTACCCCTCCCTGCCCAACAGTAAGGCTCTGAGCTCCCAACAAGGACTGTTGGTGTGTCATCCCTCCAGGACAATTGGTGACCCCATACTCCATCCCCATGGTATCACCACGCACGGATCAGTTCAGCAATGGCTCTCTGAGTCCTCTTTTCCAGCTTCTCCATTTTCTTGGCTACGTCTCGTTTTAAATCCCTAGGAAGGAAAATGATGACATCAGAACAGATCCATGACCAGTTGTGAACACAGCCACGTTGCTCCCCTCCTAGCAGGAAAGAAACTCCTTTGCTCTCCTATGAACACCATGGAACAGAGCAAAACAACGCAGCTCATGGGCAAACCAACATGATGATTCTGGCACTGAAGCCACCTTGCTGATAAGTACCTCAAAGGGACTGGCAGAACCACATGATATAAACAAAGAAAGGAGAGGACAACCCCATGCCACGTGTTTCCCAACAGGTTTCCCATTTCTCGCACTTCTAGCCCAATTTGGACAACTTCCAGGGAATGGCAACACACAGGTGATGCAAACACTCCTTTCCCAGGAGCAAAGCTCAGCAGACACTCACCAGTCTGGCTTCCTGGGGGCCAGGTTTGTCAGATCCTAGGGAGGAAGAAGAGACATCCAGTGAGAGCTGGAAGCAACAGAGATGTGTGTCCAGCACAGAGCAGCTCTCCATACGTACCACTTCGTCGATGATGGTCTCTGGCTTAGCTGCCTCCAGCTGGTCCTTCACCTTGTCTTCCACTAGATGGAGAAACAGGATCAGCATCAGCACAGCAGGACACCAAGGGGACAAGGCACGGGGAGACCCACCAGAGCCCTTGGAAAAGCTTTTACAAAAGCCCAATTTGAACAGCATCACTTTTAACAATACAGTACCTACATGTGAATCCACGTGGGCACACACATTCCTTCACCACCCAAACTCTAGAGACTTATAAAAACTCTCTGAAAACAATGTAAAACTAAAAATTAAACATAATAAACAGCAGCAGGAAGTCTATTGGGTTCAAATCCCATGTTGGCAAGGGCTGCATCCACCCGCCACTTTGCATGTCCATAGGACTTTAAGTTGCAATTTGACTCACTATGATTCATTTATGAGGCCATGGTATGAAACCATGCCCCAGAAGTGACCAAGCTCCAGCCCAGCCCTTACACAAATGACTCCAGATATTGGGGAGCTAATGGCAAAGTATGCACTGGGAACAGCCCTCCATCCATCAGTTCCAGCTCTGTGCAAGGTGACAGTGTGGCCACCAAGGATAGGGCACATCCATCAGGAATGAACAAAATCCTGCTTCCAGCATAAGCCCAATGGATAGGCAATGTGAACCCACTTTGGCACCTATTTCCTGTCCTCCTCCCTGCCCAAAATGCCCAGGGTTACTCCAGACACAGGGAGCTGCACTACAGCCCCAAACAGGCTGGCAGAGAACTTGGGTTTTACTGGAAAGAGTCACAACTGCTGTTCCAATTCCAACCCACACACAGGGGAAGAGCTGAAGAAGTTTGAAACTTTAACAAAAGGATAAAGAAAGCGCAGTGTCAGCATTCCTACCTAGCAGATCACTGCCAAAGACAGTCTTTTTATTTAGGGCATTTTTAAAGAGATATATTCCAGGAGGACTTAATATCTCAAGATCAAGGGAACTCCTACCCTTTGCCTCCCTTTGTGCAGCAGTTCAGTGCTAGGAAACAACAGACTGAACGTCCTTAGACTCATGACTAATATTTGTTTAAAGGTAATTCAAACAAAACAGCCCCAATCTCCTTGAGAATCGTGCAGTGAGAGCCTGGCCCTTCCGAGCATCTGCCCTCTCATTTGGGCTGGACTGTGTGTGCTCAGACACACACCCCACTTGTGCAATACAGGGTGTGCAACCCCACGGGGATGATGAAGCAACGGAGCCTGCAAGCACCACTCTCACTCCCAACATGGCTTGGGCATGCAGACACATCTCCCACAATCTGAAGTCAACAGCTGCAACCAGAATATATCCTGGTGACTCTTCAACCTGGGGCTGGAGTTACACCCCAGGAGCACAGAGGTTTCCCAGATACCTGATTTTGGAAAGGAAAGGTGTAATTCATTCATTTGGCAACAGGCTGGCAGGATAGAGAGCACTATGCTGTTTTATATGCTCACAGCACCATGAGTTCTGGTGGGAGGAATGCTCAGGAGTGGAACGGGATCAGACCATAGAAACACTTGAGTTAGAAGGTCAATTTTCAAGTTTCAAGGTCATCTAGTTCAACACTGCAGCCAATAGGAACTCCTACAACTAGATGAGACTGCTCAAAGCCCTGTCCTGCTTGATTTTGAATGTCTGCATCTCTATGGAGCATTAAAGTGCACCTCTGCAGTGCACACCTGCAAGGCGCTCTGCATGCTCTCATCCTTGCTGAGGCATCAGCATCATCACAGCAAGTGCTGTTGCTCAGCTCTTCCCTCATTTCCACTCCCAGGTTGCCACTTTCACTCACCTGAGGCTGGCTTGGCTGGGGGCAATTTCCTCTTCTTCAGCTCCTCATCTTCAGGGTCATAGTTTCGCAGTATAAGCTCCCTGGGAAGGAAGCATAGAGTAATGAGATCTGTGCATGCTAGCCAGAGACCAGCCATGACCAGACACAGAAATCCCAATATGGGAAAGAGGGGACCAAAAAATATTCCTGGGTAGATGTTAACAGTTCACTGGAGATGCTTCTGGTCACGCCACAACTAGGGCAAAGGAGCTGCAAAAGGGGGAATGCAGGTTTCTGTGGAAGTGATGGTGACCTAGAAGCTCCCCCCAGACTGCACAAAACACAACACAACCATTTCCTCAATGTATACACCCCCCCAAATTCAGATACTATTTCTGCCCCTTCTAAAGGCTGTTCTTTTTTCACCTGGGTCATTTCTCTGCTAGACTACATGCATGGAGAAACAACAAGGTATCTGCTTGTTCTTTGTTGAAATATCATTTAAGGTTGGTGCCTGAGGTGACTGACATTTAACAGAGCTGTTTCAGAACACACAAACGCATGGATTTAAGCTGCACACCCTACAAATTTCCACAAAGGGCAAACCTTTGTCATTTGCTCTGCCACCATACCCAGAGGCAACATCTTGGTTTTCTTTCTGCCTCATTCCTACCTTGCCAGGTGTTACTGTTGAGCTCCGCAGTGACATTCATCTCATCTCAACACCTTTCCAGCATCCTGCACTGAGCAAACCCCGCTTGCCAGCTCCTTACAAGCTCCACCTACATGCAAAGGATCTGACCCACAGAGGTGGTGAGAGATGTGGTTGGATTTTATGGGTTGCTCACAGTAGTGGGTTCGTGAAGCTGAGTCCTCTGCAAATTTGGCTTTGCCACGGTTTCATAGAATCATAAAATCATTAAGGTTGGAAAAGAGCTCTCAGATCCCCCAGTCCAACCCCAGCCCAGCCCTCCATGCCCACTGAGCCCCATCTCCACATTCCATGGACAGCCCCAGGGATGGTGACCCCACCACCTCCTTGGGCAGCCTATGCCAAAGCCTGACCACACTCCTTTGGAAAAGCAATTATTCCTAATATCCAACCTGAACCTCCCCTGGCCCACTCATAGAATATTCTTTGTTAGGATGGACCCACAAAGACCATCAAGTCCAACATGAGTATAGTTGTTTCTCTGGTGTCAGCCCCCCACCACCTCACATTCCATTCTGGCAGTCCCTCTGCAAGATGTAACTCAGAGAAATGCAACCAGCAGTGGGAAGCAGGACCAGGCAGGTTAGGACATTGCAGAAATTCCTCATGTGTCAAGCTCTGGTTGCCCAATCCTCCACATCAACATAAGCCACAATAGCCCACGTTTCCCCAGCACTGTTAAAAGGAAGGAGGAAGCAGTTGCCCTGCATTGTGCAGTTTTATGGGTATTTTTATGTAAAACTGCCCTGGGAGAAGGCATTTATTACACTAACCTGGACTGTGGTCACTCCCCAGCCTGCATGGTGGCTCTTTTTGGGAACTCTGACAGAAGGCCCAATGGTCTTCTATGATGCATAACTGCTTCACTGGATAAGCAAAGAGCCGCTGATGTCATCCATTTGGATGTCAGTAAGGCCTCTGACTGCTGATCTGTTTTGATGGGATGACAGGAAATGGTTTCAAACTAAAAGAGGAGGATCGAGACTGGATATAAGGAAAGGGTTTTTATAGTAGGAGCGGTGAGGCACTGACACAGGTTGTCCAGTGAGGTGGTGGATGCCCCATCCCTGAAGACATTCTATGATCTTGGGTGATGGAGTGGCACGCAGAAATCCTCGTTATTCCTTGGTTTTACAGGCTCCAATCAGCAGGACTGAGTTGGTAAGGAGGGAGAGAAGAGGCTAACTCACCCTGGAGGTGATGGATGTCAGGCAGTGATGTTGGCCATCTGGCCACGGGCTGCCTCCTGCTCACTGGGGAGGATTTATCATACCAAATGACAACATCAGAGCCTGCAGAAAGCAAACTTGCAACCTCTCCCACACTTTCTGCTTGTTTTAGCTCACGTATAGAAGGATTTCCTTGCAGCTGAATGGGAAGCAAAGACAGCCTCCTCTAAGGTCGGAGAGCCTAAAACAAAAGAGCTACGAGCTGAGCTAGCTGTTCTCAGCTCAGCAAGACGTTAGCACTACACCTTGAGAGGTGATATTTCACACCCACCATTTAGCACACATTCTGGCGGCTGCTCAGCCACACCAAAGCCTCGCTGCCCAGCACTGCTGGTGCTCACTTGAGATTTATCCATGAGATTATAAAAAGGGGAGGGAAAAAAAGCATAATGCACAACTTGGCAACAGCAGCAGAGCAGAAGGGAAGCAGCCGCTCGCAAGGATGAAGAGCAGAAGTGCTGCACCCAGGTCCCCCCCCACCCTCCAAGCTTCCCCTGGTGCTTTCAGATCCTTATTAAAGCCATGCCCAATTGCAGGAGCAAAAACAAACACAGATTGATCCCTTTAATTAAATGCACGATGCAGGAGAAGCTCTCACACCTGCCTCCAGTAATTGCTGGTACCCAGAACGCCCATGGTTGCTCCTTGGGGGTTTTGGCATGAGTAAACCCAGCAGTGCTGTGCTCCCCAGCAGCAGAAGCTGTTGCCTTGGTCTCCCCATTTCACTGTGGTCTCTGCCATTTTCTCTGCATCTCTGAAAACGAGCAGATGGATGAGGAGCTAGCAGTGCTACACCCCTAATAATCCGAAGGAAGGAAGGCAGGGGTTAAAAACACATATTTAAGGAGACGTTGCTGGCCTTCCACAGAGTGGGTTAAATAAAGTTCAGGTGTCAGCAGTTCTTCCAGCGCTGCGTTCCACAGAGACAGCCCAGCATGCTTCTCAAATTATCAAAGTTCCCACGACAACAAAGAAAACAGAGTTAACAACAGGCTCTGTGCACAACGAGCACACAGCAGCCAGGTTAGCAAGAACAGCTTGTAGGATGCGACGCTCCAGCAGTAATGGCTTGGCTAAGAAGGAACACAGCTCCCCACGTAGAAAACACAGCATCCTGCATCCTCACCCAGGACCAGCAAGCACCAAGCTGCTGGGACATCACAAGCTTCAGGGGAACTGCAGGGTTTGCAAAGGGAAGTGATGCACAAACCTCTCGGTGCCTCACTGAAGCCCAACAGTGGTGGCAGGTTCCCTGTTTCAGACTCAGGAATGCCTCAAATCTGCTTCCTATTGTGGTTCATAATGGGACAAGTGTGGTGGGGAGTGGCTGAGAGAGCTGAGGTTGTTCAGGGAGGAGGAGTTTCAGGGGAGACTTCATCACTCCCTGCAACTGAGAGGAGGTTGTGGTGAGGTGGGGGTTGGCCTCTGCTCCCAGGTAACAGCGATAGGATGAGAGGTGATGGTCCCACATTGTGCCAGGAGGTTCAGGCTGGATACTAGGAACAATTTCCTCTCTGAAAGAGTAGTGATGCAGTGGCACAGCTGCCCAGGGAGGTGGTAGAGTCACCATCCTCAGAGGTATTCAAGAACCATGGAGATGGCACTGAGGGATGCAGTCAGCAGGCAGAGGGGTGAGCTGGGGTTGGACTTGGTGATCTCAGAGATCTTTTCCAGCCTTAATAATACTATGATCAGTCCTGGGAAGAAGGAAGGACATCAGCCTTTCTTTGAAGCAGGAGTGTTGGAAGTGGCAGAGCACGCAGGTTATGTGTGGAATGCAAAGACTTATCTCACTGCAAAGCAGGACACTCAAAGCTAACTTCGAAGTTATTTCTGCTTTACTCCTTCAGCCTCAAGGGCTTTATGGAGCAAACACTGTTTTTAACTGATAAGAGGACTTCTCCAGTCTGGCAGTGAAGCACATGCATGCTGATGACCAGCCACTGGTGAGGATGCTTCCTCTGCTGCAGCCAACCCACCATCAAAAAAGAAGCCACTCTTAACACCCAGGTCCCCAAAAAGAGACTTTTCAGTCTTTGAAAGCAGTTTAGGGAAGTGCTCCATCCCCACCTTGGCTGGTTTGAGTTATTTTCTTCTGAAGTCCTGGAGAAATACCATCTGGTCAGACAAATTGTTGACCTTTGCCCTTCTCAAGCTGCTCCAAAGCCTTCTACTCTTTTTTGACAACTACTTCAACTTGCTTGAGACCACACAGCCTGGACAATAATTTCTATTTCATCCTTTCAAGAGCAACCACAGCAAGAATTTCATTTAATTTCTCAGCTTCTCCAAATTCCACTTACTGCTGGGTGGTCCTGAGAAGCACTGTTTGAACACATCGTGAAGGTACTGCTACAGAAGACACAGGTGAGGTCCCAAAGCCTTGAAGAAGTGATGATTTATGGGACCATCCCCCGCTCCTTGTGCCACAGCACCATCACCCTCCAGGAGCACTGCAAGACTTACTGTGCAGCACTCATCCATCCTGGTACAGATTTCATTTCACAGACCCTTCTTTTTTACACTCTCCATTCCTGCAGATGGCTCTGACATCTGTTCCTGGATATCTGGGAGCATCCCCTCCTGCTGCAGCCTGCCTGGGAGCTTCCCTACAGCTGGGCTAGCTCATAGCAAGATCCATACATCTCCAGGCTGCCTCTTTATGCATGGTGACCTTTCTAGAAGTCTGCAAGGCAATCTGCACCTCCTCCAAGTTAGAAACAAATAAACAATTTCCACACCCCAAGCATTTGGTGAAGGCTCCCTTAAATCATCCTGCAGCAGGATCGAGGCATCTCCATAGGACACAACACAGAAGTCCAAAGCTGTTGTTTGATAACGGTGTGAAGCCCTGGATTCCTCACTTGGGACAGAAAAGGAACAAGCAACAAACAGAGGCAGAGGGCAGTGGTTCCCACCAGCACCCACCTCATGTGCTGCTCCAGCTCAAATAGCTGAGCGTGTTGGAGCACATCCTGCTCCTCGAGTGGCTGCTGAGAGGCACTCGAGGAATGCCAAAAAACAAGCACTTCTCTCCAAGCCTCCAACAGCTGGTTTCTCAGGATGTGCTTCTCGGGGCCGTATCTCTGGGTGCTGCATGAAGAAAGCTGCAAAACACCTGAAATGCAGGCAGGTGCCACGGGGCTGTCTGGCCTCCCACGCAGCTTTAGGAGGCACATGAGCATTTTCCAGGCTGTATATTCATAAATGTGATGAGGAGGAAGCCTACACTCAAAGCTGCAGAACGGGACGCAGCACCAGGAGCTTGGTGATGGGCCCTGCAGCTGGCACCAGAGCTTTGTCCATATTTATGGGGTTTCTCCAGCTCCTTCAGCCAGTAGAAGGTCAGGAGCAATCTGCCATCCTTGAGGCTCAAGTCACAAAGAGGTCCTGAAGGTATTTTGGGAGCATCTGGGTGATTACAGGATGCTGACATCCCTCTTGTTGGCCTCAAAACAGTGCCGAACTCTGCAGCTCTGCCCTTTCTCCTTCTCCAGCCCATGAGCATGAGCCTCCAGCATGATTGAAGCTGGGAGGCTCCAGCTTCACCCCTGGCCACCTCCAGCCCTGGCCCCTGCCCTTCCCTGCTGCAGGAGAAGCACCTGATCCCTCAGTGACACAGAGTGACAACACAGCCTGACTCACCACACAGCTTCCACATCAGCCCAAGTCACAGGTTTGGCTGCTCATGCAGATTTCTATCAATAACACCACATCATCACACACATGTCAAGCTTAGCCTACACAGACAACTGCTTTTACCCATACACTTATTATTTTTTAATCTCTCCATACCACAGGATGTATGGAGGCTCTGCACAGTGGTTATCCATGCTCCTGCCTTGCTGACCTGCCAGGCCAAGCCCAGCACATTCACTGCTGTATTATTTTTGTTATGCCAACACTGGAAGAAAAAGCCTTAAAAAACAAACAAAAAAAATGGACTGATCTGCCCCATGAGATTCTTCCTATGGGGGAGAGCCCACATTTCCCAGCCCTGCCTCCCCCTCCTCCTCCTCCTAGCACTTCACCTCCACAAGCAGCACTACATGGAGTTGTAATTTTAAAGGATGACTGAGCATTGAAATACCTGCAGCTGATTAACTGCAGTTTGCTGCAGCTTCGTTTTTAGTTAAAAAGAAGATTTTGGGGTCTCCTCCTCCCTCTCCAAGCCCTACCCTGGCCATTTATTGACATTTTTAACATCCCTGACGAGCTCTGCTTGCAGAACTGTGGCTGAACTTCAAAGCTCAGAGCAGAGCCGCTCATTTTTCCTGCAGGAACCACACAGAAGGGCCGAAGTCCATCCACACCCTGCAACAGCCAAAGCTGATGGCAGGCTGCTCCACAGCAGGAGGCATTTCCTGGTCACTGGGTTGAGCAAAACTGGTTAAAAAAATAATAATAATAACCCAAGCTCTTAGCAATTACAGATACAAGCTCCCCTGAGAGGCAGATGAAAGATATCCGGAGCTGAAATTGCTGCAAGCAGATTGCATTTTTCACAGAGGGCCTCGTCAGCACTTGTTCCTGCGGTGGTATCTTGTAGTGTGAAAGATAAAAACAAGGAACAACAAAAAAAAAAGGGTGGGGAGCTTTGAGCAGGTCAGAAAAAAAAAAAAAAAAAACAACAGGAAGCTGTTGAAAATTGTTTTGGTGCATTGGCAGCAAGAAAATATTCGGTTGTGCCTGCAGTGCAGGGTGTGAAGTCAAGTCCCCAACATCTCAGCTAGGTGAAAACCAGCCCTAAAGCCAAGCTGCAAAGAGGTGAAGCAGCAGGCAAAGCTGTTCCTGACCTCAAGAAAGTCACAAACGACTTCCAGGTCATCTGAAGTCTACATATGGGCCACAAGACTACTTATGGGTTTCACTGGCCTTGTGTGCGTGGTGGTTTTCAGGTTGAGGAAGCAGCAGAGCCAGCAGGGAAGGCACATTCAGGCTACCAGAGCCCTTTATTGCTCACATTAGCTCAGCTTACCTTTCACCACCAGCACACAAGGCATTAGTGCAGAGCAGTTCCCTTTTTCAAAGGGTTGAGAAAGCTCAGCTTTGCTACCAGGAAATGAAAATCTAAGATGAAATCAAGTTAGCAGCTCGCTGGCATTCTGCTTAAAAACACACATCCAATTTCAGCAAGAGAGAAAGAGCATTCAACAAGGAAAGCAGAAAGCAACAAAGTCCCTAGATGGGATGGAGTTCAGTTGTAAACCTAAGAATTGTCTCAGCCAAATTTGTGATTCAAACATTTCCTGCAAAGCAGATCTTGCTCTCATTTGCCTTGCAAACAGAGGTTGAGATCCTGACAAAACACACAGCAGTTGGATAGAGCTGCAGGCTCCTGAGGACAAATTGAGCTGGAAAGGGAACTTTTTGCCCCAGAAGTTGCTGCCCTCCCTAAAGGTGTTATTCCCACATATTGTGGATGCCCTGCATCCACATCTGCATCATGTATCAGTACAAGGCCGACTGGAAATAGAAGGTTCATACCCAACAATCTCCAATCTCTACAATCTCACTGAAGCTTCAGGGCATCTCCCACAGGCAGAAGAAGGCTTTGCTGCAAGAGGAGAGCTCACCAGTGTGCACATGTTAGAGGAAATGACCTCCCAGCTTGGCAGCAGTGATGCTGAAGATTTGGGATGACACTGCATCACCTCTGATACGCTTCAGGATGCTCAGCAGTGGTTAAAAAGAAGCAGCCCCCATGCTAAAAATCAGTCCCAGTGGAGGAAAGGATTACTGTTGGGATTTCAGTGACCAATTCACACTTCCAGCTTGGGTGCAGGAATGTCACTGCTAGCTTGGTGCTCCTCAGCAGAGAGCCATGCAGTGTATCAAGTGGCAGGGCTGGAAAGCAAGAGCTGATGATTCATTATTCATCATCGTTTCCAAGATCTTTAACACCTCTTACAGCCTAGACCTTCCAGCACAAAACCCTCCAGGTGTGCCAACTGTAAAAGCTCAGCTTAAAAGATCAATCCAGAGTTCTATCCTCTCCCAGAATAAAATGGGTGCTGGCAGTTTGGAGAAAGCTTGCAGCTTCTGCTGAGAGTTATCCCCTCAAGCAGGGGAATAGATTTTACTCCACTTTTTCCCCACAGCAGCAGTTCTCATGCACAAACAGATGCTGTGATGAAAAACAGCAATGAGGAAAACCTACATCCCAAAAGTTTTAAGCAAACCTCACCCCCCCTGTTGTCTCCAGAGCCGACCTGATAGCATCAGTAGAAACAGGAAACCAAGCGCAGTCAGCTGGTTCCGACAGGAGCAGCACCCTGCCTGGGTTAGCTTTGTGCTCACATTTTCCAGTGACAAGAAGGAACAGCAGTGAGCTGCAATTAAACAGCCACGTGCACATTGCAAAGCCCTCAGGTTCACGGAAAAAAAAAGTGCACTTTCCAAACCATGCATGTGTAAGTGACAGAAAGCACAGCAGTGTGCCTGTGCTGCCATACAGAGAATCCTGGGCAGGCTGAGAGTTGGGCAGAGAGGAACCTGGTGAGGTTCAACAAGGGCAAGTGTGGAGTCCTATGGCTACGGAGGAATAACGAGACACATCAGTACAAGTTAGGAGCTGAGCTGCTAGAGAGGAGCTCTGTTGTGAAGGAGCTGGGTGTTCTGGTTGACCAGCAGTGTGCCGTGATGGCACACTGAAGTGCCTTGCACAGAAGCACGGCAGCAGGGTGAGGGAGGTTCTTCTCCCCTCTGCTCTGCACTGGTGAAGCCACATCTGGAGCAGTGGGCCCAGTGCTGAGCTCCCCGGTTCCAGGCAGACAAGGAACTGCTGGGGAGAGCACAGTGGAGGAGCTGCAGAGATAGGGGGGGCCTGGAGCATTGCCTGGTGGGGAAAGGCTGAGAGCCCTGAACCGTTCAGCCTGGAGAAGAGAAGGCTGAGTGGGGGGATCTGATCACGCCTATCAGCATCTGAAGTGTGGAGGCCAAGAGGATGGGACCAGGCTCTTTTCAGTGCTGCCCACCAACAGGACAAGGGACAATGGGCACAAAGTAGAACACAGAAAGTTCCACACAAACATGAGGAAGAACTTCTTCACTTTGAGGATGACAGAGCCCTGGAACAGGATGCCCAGATGGGTGGTAGAGTCTCCTTCTCTGGAGATATTCAGGGGGGTTGGACTGGAAGATCTCCAGAGATCCCTTCTGACCTCAATGATTCTATGATCCTGGAAATGGCTCTCCAACTGAGGGGAATCTGAACTGCATCTGTCCTCCAGGTGTTTCTGAGAACATCACCATGCCCTTGCAACACTCTGCTGTAAGCCAGACAGAGCATTCTCTTCATTCCCCTATCTCAGACTATTTGCAGCAAGTTATTCACACCAAAACGAAACAAAAACTGCATTTTTGAAGATCCTAATTAGCAAACAGGTGGGCTGTACTTGAACAATATACGAGAGAGAAGTCAGAATAAATAAATAATTACCTGTGCCTGACATTCTCCTCCTCCTCATCTTCTTTGAACTGCTTGGCCTCAGGTTCGCCACTGTTCTTATTCTGGAAGGATGAAAAGTTATGTGTCAGCCTCAGCCCCTGGAAATACCATGGAGCAAACAGGAGCCCAGCACAGGAACCCTCCCCATGGCAGGCAGCAACACACGGCCTGAAGTTATGGCTCAATTAGGACACCTTGAAATTAAGCCTGCCTTCCTTTTTCCTCCATTTCGCCTGTCCAGATAGCGTGATAAATAAATGTTAGAACTGGCAAGGAGAATCAAATCCTCCCCTCAGAGGCATTCACACCATTCAGCTTTGATATTCCCCTTATCACTGAGCAACCGCATCAATTCAGGGAGAAAACAACAGGCTGCAATCAATGACAGAGCTCAGGAACCTCACCCCACCTCCGCACTGAAACCTTGCAATAAAAGAAGAGCAGAGAGATGGGGGCCACCAGGCAAGGCAGAGGAGAGCCAGCAGTACCCTCAGGAGTCACCGTGGCCATTTTAACAGGCTGCAAAACAAACGGACAGAAATCAGAGAGTGCTCAGCACTGCAATGGGTCTGATTTCAGCCCCTGAAACTCTGTGCTGTAACATAACCAGATTTCTCCCAAACAGCACAGCAAAGAAGCACATTTTGCACCATCCATACTCCACTAGCAGCTCACCAGTCTTGCTACTAGCTCTATTATTACCCAGACAAGTAATGAGCATTAACAATAATGAGTTCTGTTTGGCCTCCCACTGATGAACCAATTCCATTCAACTGCTGAACAAAGTTTATTCGGTGGCAAACATCTACCCATGCATTACACAGTACATTGCTATAGGGAAGGCAATATAAAAGCTTTAAAATGCTGTTCTGCAACCTGGGTAAAAAAGAACAGACAACACTGGGAGAGGAGTCAGGCTTGGTTTGCTTTGGGCTCATCGGTGAATGGAGCTGTTCAGGTTCAGCTCCTGTCGGAAGTGCAAGAGAAACGGTTCAGCCTTTCTAAAAACAAAAGGTCATTCCTACCATCAATATCCCATTCAGTTTACTACTCCTACAATCAATATCCCATTCAGTTTACTCTCCCTGTTTGAATGCAGGCTTTAGATTTTCCAAAGCCCATCCTAACTTCCCATCACTTGTGCAGCCATTGCTTGTTCAATGAAGAGCTCTGCTGAAGGAAAGCAAGGGCAGCGTGCAGTGGCTTCTTGCTGTCAGCTCGTGCTGTGCCACGCTCAGCCAATGTTATTTCAAGGTGTGGGAAGTGCCTTCTTTCACTTTCTCATCCCTTTCATCTCCTCACACTCTGTACACACACACGTTCAGCCTACATCCTCCTCATTCTTGTTTGTATTTTATCTGCAAGGTTTATAAGCACATCCTGAAATACTACAGAGACATTTGGCAACAATATTCACGCCAAGCAGTGGCTGTTCTTCCCACCACAAGCCTGCACGTCCCACAGCACTGCATATCTTTCTTTTCCCCATAAGCTGAAATAACTTCTTATTCCCTCCTCCCCAGCCATAGGGCTTTACACTTGCTCTTGCTGAACCTCATGAGGTTCCCCTCCAGCCCATCTAGGTCTCACTGAACGGCAGCACAGCTGTCAGGTGTGACAGTCACTCCTTCCAACTTCACATCAGCAGCAGGATGACAACCATGAACCAGCATGGCTCAATGTAACACTGCATCTCCAGCTCATTCCTCACACAGCTGCCCTCTGAATTTTACTCCCTGCCATCCGCTGCTGCTGAGGAGGCTCCATCAGACAGATCACAATGAAAGCACAACACAAACGAGGTCTGAACCAACCATCTGAAGTCAGGCCTCCCCCCCAGCACAACAAATTCATTCTGCCTCCTCATTTGCAAAGCTGGCTGGAAATGAGATTTCAGTTTCATAGCAGGTGATGAAAAACCCAGCGCTAAGCCACAGGGTAGAGTGAGAAACGTGACCAGGGGAACCCCAGCCTCTGTGCAAAGGCAGTTTGTCACAAGAGTCACCTATATGGGTTGGTGTGGAAAGGCTGGATGGCTGCTGCAGGGCTGGATGGCTGCTGCCTTTCCAACTGCCAGCAAAAAGCTCAGCATTTCCAGCTGCACTCAGTCCCTATGCACAGCTTCTTGGGATGCCTTTGAACTCACGCAAGCTGAGAAAAGGCAAAGTGGTGAGATAAGGGAGGCTTACACCCAGTGCTGAGTGCAGGGAGCCATCATGGGTTTCTAAATGTACAAATTTGGGCTCTGAATCCATAGCTGGTTCAAAGCAATCCTCATGTCTTTACCTAGGAGCATGAAGGGAAGATCCCTCTTGGCATGAAGGCATGATCCCTCCTTCCTCGCTTTCTCTCCTAAAAACCAGCAAAAGGCTGGAGTCACCAGAGCTCAGTGTATAAGCAAACCAAACTCCAACAGAAAGAAAAGTGTGCAAATTCTTAAGGGAACAGCTACCTGAAATCCTTGGATCTGCATCTGAAGTGTTTCACACCATGACTGCTCTCACGCACAGAGCCAGCGGGCACAGCTGTACCTGCCCATCTGTTCCAGCACAGAGACAGCTCAGGCTGCATTCATCACAAATTAACAGGGTTAAGGTGTTAAGCTTCCCTGTTCACAGCCCCTTGTCTGAGCACAGCTGAGAGATGGCAGTAGCTAGAGGCTGAGTGGGGAATTCTCCCTGGGCATTCTGCATAGTGCTGAATGACAAAGCCACTGCTGCAGGAGCAGGGGAGCTTCGGGGTGGGGATGCAGCACAGCAGCCAGGGCTGCACCAACAGGGAGCACAGAGAGCTGGAGGGCAGCAGAGCTAGCAGCACGGCATGGGACTCAGCTCCACAGCCATGTGCTGTGTCGGATCTCATTACCACGATCATTTATTGATACAGACACAGGCACTCAGACGCATCTTATCTCACAGCTCTGTGTTTCACTGCCACCCCAGCTCTCTCCTTTCTTCTCTGCCCTTAAAGGATCGGTCTGACAGCTCAAAGGACTTCAACACAGCTGCAATGTCTTTGGGGTTCTCTGTTGTTCTCGGAGACCTGCCCCTTTGCCATCCCCCTTCCAACCCTGCTGTCCAACAGCTGTGTCACAGCCTTCATTTCTTCAGACAGGAAGCACTCCTCCTGGCACAGAGCTCAGCCTCATCACCACCTCCTGCTCCAAGCATTTTAAAGCATTTCCCTTTGCTCGCTGGTGGTTGCTTCTCCCAGGTTTGCACCAATTCAGTTTTCACCGCTTTTCGCTTTCTACTTTTTCTGATTTAAAACCTCAAGGCCAAAAAAAGGGAGCTGAAAACAACCCCCTGGTCGTTTCACTCTCACAATTCCTCTTTTCAAGGCGAGGTGTTTGCTACCAGCTGCACCTCCCAAGATTGGAGACCCAGCCGCGCTCTGTGAGAGTGTTTGCCTGCAAACAAAGTCACTCCCACCCTTCAGTCTCTGCAAGGAGACAGTCATAAGATAAAGCTCCAACCTTAAGAAGCTTTCTCTTGCTTGGAGTCTCCCAGCTATTTAATTTGCAGACATGGCAACTGGCAACCCCTGCCCCGTAGCTACCAACCTGCAGACTTCTGCTTGCCCGATTCCCACTCTTCACAAAGAGCTCTGAGATGAAAAGAATCTCATCCCCTGCCTGTTCAAGGCATAAATCCAACAAGATTTGCATCAGATTGTACAAAGGAGGGTGTCAGCTGCCTCCTCCAATACCTGCAAGGCACAGCAAACTTGACAGGGGACAAGTTAGCAGCCCAGGCTCCCAGCAGAACAAGGGTGAGAACTATGTGACGCCTGCCAGGCTGAGAGCCTGGGTCCTGCACAACACAAGCCATGGTGTTTGGTCAGCATAGATGCATTGGTTTGCTTTCCTCCTTGCCAGCAGCAGGCAGAACAAGGAACGCATCTGATAGCCTCATGCAGTCAAGATGGATGCTGACAGCTCAGTAGAAGCACTCTGTAAGCACAGACAAGCATTACACATAGCATATTCATTTTCCCTCCAGCAAAACCAACCCTACCTGCAAGAAGCTTCTGCTCTGAGCAATCAGAGAACGTTCTGAGAAATGCTAGGCTTCCCCCTGGGCTTCAGCACATTATCATGACTTTTCCCTTCCTGGTAGGTGTCTTCACAGCCCTTTGGTTCATTCTCCCATAATAACAAGGGAAGCAATTTGCTTTGCATCGTGTTTAAGGCCAAAAGGGATGTTCAAGTTGCCTAGCCCAACTTGAGAACACTTCTGATGTGGGAAGTCTCACCCAGCCATCCCTCCTCATCCCAAAGACATCAGGAGGAGCAGCTCTCCTTCCTGCAGCAGCTAGATGAGCAATGGGAATACTGGGTACACAAGTCACAGGCCCCCAAAGCAATGCTTCTGCTGGGTGACAATCCTCCATTGACAGCCACTGAACAATCAGTATCAGTTACTTGTTTCAGAGCTGTAATTTTGCAGCAGCATGTTGTGCAATACCACTAATCCTTCACTAAATCACATTTACATGACAAAAATGACACTCCCTTTTTCCTCACTCTCCATTAAATGCATTGCAAATCACTCTTTTCATCCTTCTGCTCCACACTGACAGCAAACTGCCTTCACCCAACTCACCCATTTATTTCTAAGCAGTGATGTTTTATTAGCACTCTTCCAGTCCTTTGAAACTTATCCAGTATTCAGAAAAAGATTTAAATCAAAACACAGCAGGCTAACAATCTCTTCAGCTGATTATTTTAGGATTCCTGGGTGCAAATTACCCACAACTGCTGATTTAAGTGTTTTTGCTGGATGTCTAACATCCTCTCATCACGCTGGTCTGGAAAGCAGCTCATCATTCCTCTACGAGGCAACCCCTTCCCAAATAACACTTGATGAAGTCAAGCTTGTATTTGTTTCTTTCTTTCCTTCCCAATGTCTTTTCAAAGTCTCTGTCTGAAGGACTGCTTCCCCCTCTGATCAGACCTGGCCTCTCTCCCAGATTCCAATAACTATACTGCAATGGTCTGATACCTGCCTGCATCTTCCAGCACACCCAATCTCCTTTTCCATTCCCCTCCAAGCCTCAGAAG